CATACTGAAAGAACAAGGAGAGGGAGCTATCAGGATATAATATGGGAGTTGCATTTCGTTTCTATATACATTTGTCTATGCAGCAAAAGCTGAAGAATAATGCTATGTTTAAAACAGGCTAAATGCAGCAGAAATGGTATTCTTCACTGCATATGCTACAAAGTGGACCCAGGGAAAAGGCACTGAATATTCTCTAAGCTGAGACCAACAGGCAGTTGGGGTGGCTGCTGCCCACACTATACCAGCAGGACTCCAAACCTGAGATGATCAAGCTTTCCTCTACGGTCTGTGGCCCACTGGTAGATTCCCTTCAGGGGGGCATTATGCTGTGTTTATCCCAGTGTTAATCTTAGCTGCCATCTTGCTGCCAAAGCTCATGACTGCTTGGATCAAGAATGATGCTATCATCGAAAAAGTCATCATCTTTATCAAAGCCAGTGAATTCGTTCTGTACCATGTGGCAGATGACCAGGACTGGAGTGATCTGTCAGAATCATAGACAAAGCTCTAGTAGAAGTCAAAGTCACACACACCACAGAGTAACATCTCCAAGAGAGCTCTATTTGCTACTAAAAAAATATTTTATCTTTTAAAAAAATGTGTTAAATTTACTTGCATCAGATATGTAATTTTTTGTCTGGTAAACATCCACTGCACTAAAAAATGTTTTTAAAAAAGGTACACGTGATTAAATTTTAATTTTCTAAATGACACCTTTTTCTTAATGTTACTGATAGATTTTAAACTCATTATACTGTTGTTCAGTCAGTTCAACATTGTGTCCATGTATATTCCGAAATAATATAAAATTTAGTTTGTGTTACAGGTCTGGACTACACCAGGCAACAGATGGAGCAGAACACTTCAGATAAAGAGGACCTTTTGTTTCTATGACACCTTCATGTACGGCTGAAAGTACCAGACAGCTGGAATGATATTTGGCCTGTTCAGCAGTCCACCTGGATCTGCTGAGGTCTTTTCTCATAATCAGGCAGTGTCCATCGGTGTCAACACTCCTCTGACTCCTTGGTCTGCCTCAGCTGCTTTGAGAGGCTGGACTCCAACTTCTGCTGAAGTTGAACAATAGATTTGGGAACAATAAAAAAGAATGCTTGCTTTTTAGTGTAAAAACAATAAACATGAAATGAAAATAAAAATTTGACTCATCTATGTTTATTGTGGTTTGCTTAGTAGTTTAGAAAATGATGGGAATTATGGGAATCTACAGGCAGTTGCGAAACAGGATTTCACATTTTTAACATTTGATCCCAGATTAATTGATTTATTTGTGGGTAAAGTATATGATGTATTTATGATGAAACTATAGATAGTAGAAACTCTTTTGGAATTGAAAGTACTTTTAGTTGAGTGACATTTAAATTCTTTTCACACTCCTGCTGAGTTCTACACAACTGCAGTCCAAAACTCCAAAACTGCTTTCTTGATAAAGTAGTTGGAACAGTACGGCTTAAATAGAGTTTGGATATTTGTTGGCTAACAATATCCTGATAAAATTTCAGTCACAACTTTGCTCTAACCACAGGCGCAGATGGATGCAGATTCTAATTTTCTCTTCTTTTTTCACCTCAGTGCTGCCTCATACACAGAAAATGATAAGAAAATAAGCCTACATGTATGCTGTATTTCTTTAGGGATGTTTAATACTTCTAGTAAATTTAACAAATCATT